GTGATTGGTCAATAAAGCCTGTTCTGTTGTACCAGTCTTTTACCTATTAGGGCTCGGGTATTCTACAGTGGCGTCGGATTTGGGCGCAGACATGTTGGACCACCTAGCCTCAGCCAATCCCGTGTCTCTCTGCGATCCAATGGCTTGCAGGAAAGGAAGGCAGCCAACTAGAGAAGGACATGGATGAGATGCAGTATATAATGAGCGACGTGGCCAGCATCGTGGACTCGGATGGAAGGCGTCTGACGCGTGGCTCTGGCTTCTGATTGGTCAATAAAGCCTGTTCTGTTGTACCGGTTTTTTACCTATCAGGGCTCGGGTATTCTACAGTGCCGACGTAAAAGGGCACTGACATATTTGACCACGCTTGCCTTAACCAATCCTTTGTCTATCTGCTTTCCAATGGCATACAAGGAAGATAAGCTGCCAACCAGAGACAGACACGAATGAGGAGCAGTATATAATTATCGTCGTAGACAGTGTGGTGGGCACTGATGCACAGTTCTGGCTAGTGATTGGTCAATAAAGCCTTTCTGTTGTAGTATTCTTCTTTATCCTAGTGCTCGGGTATTCTACAAAACTACATTAGGCCGATCTCAAGACTTAAAGTCTACTAGTTATACAAATGGCCAATGAGCACATAACGACGCAACGGTGTCCATATCAAATGCTTGAGAGTGATCCCATCCTTGATGATATCCGATAACGCATCCATGTATTTAAAAAATGGCCCAGTGAATGGCATCTCTATTAAGCGTTAGGTATTTGAAATTTGTTTTCTGACAAATTCAAAAAATCGTTCAATTAAGGTTTATTCAAAAGTCCTCAAATATTGAGACAGAGATCGATATGAAGCGATTCTTCTTCGTTCCAAGCCTCTTTACCTCAGGGCAGCTCTTTCTACAACGCCACAAATGACTTGATCTTCCTCGTTTGGGCTGTCAACCACGTTGGGTAGCTTTCATAGCTTATTTTTAACAAGTCGGTTATCCCATTAATGCAACGAACCCTAAATTGCCTCATTAAGAATTAGTATATTGTCATAAATAGAGTGAAATCCTATACGCTAGACCTCAGACATGAGACGCCGGTTCCATATGGTCTTTATTACTGCAATGGTGACTCATTAAATTCTTGAAATTGGATTTTCCAAACACTTTGGTCCACTTAATGATTTAAATTCGTCCTTAACAACCAACATGACCATAAGGTGTTCATAAATGGCAATGTCATCCGTCGCATTTCACCTTACTTCGGTAATATGTCGACTTCACAGGCAAAACGGTTATGCACAAAATACTGACGAATGATACCTATTTTCGCGCTGGTGTGAAACTTTTTTTTTTCACTTTCAAACCGACGTCTGAACGTAAATTTCAACTTATGATAATCCGAAGATTATAAATCAACTGGTCACCTGAACTGCGCATTGTTTCCAAGAACGTCCGTGTTGGGTCGTGTCCACGCGGTAAATATTGCAATCCTTTATTTACTCAGCCTGACTTATCTACTTACACGGCAAATCTGTGTTCAGCGTGGTATCAAATTAATATTCTGCACTTTAATGTATCGAAAACATCTGAATTCGTCTTCCGATACCGCAGAGTGCATGGCTTAATTTACAATCTGCTAAAGCGTGTTTTTAGAGTTCCAAGAGTCAAATTTTTGGGAAACACTGATACAAAGACTAAAAAGATTAAAAATTCTTGAAACGGAAGTCCAGTAAACAACTTTAAAGCTTCTTGGATGCAATCAGCTGCAGCAGTCGTAGCTCTGACGCTTCAACTCCGGACCAATCCACCCAAAGGTTACTCTTAAAATATGCATGAAGGTTGCAGCAAGTATAGATTTTAACATCTCGAGAGAAATTACAAAAACACAAATTCCATTTTAATGATCAGAAGGAAATATCTGAACAGCTTTAATTGGACACATCTTTTTAATTTGATAATGGCAGTTGTCATGGTCAAATAATTGGTAAAATAGGCCAAGTGAACGTTGTTAGAAGCTGCTTCAGGATGGCCTGGAGGTCTTCTGGTCGGACCAACACTGAGCTTGTCGGGAATCTTAGAAGTAAATTTTGATGATTACTAAACCGTGAAGGTCACAATATTATCTCCTCTGACCGAGTTCTCGACGTAATGTTGGCCGTCGATCGTGGGTTCTTCGTGAAGGAGAATCCTTATGAAGATCGGCCTCAGTCTATCGGATACGGCGCGACTATAAGTGCACCACACATGGTATGATCTTGGTGTTTGGTTGCACGATTGACATTTTGAGGCTGTTCTCACTGATCATCGGTGTTTGGTCTTTTTGTACGAAAAGTAATTTTAGTGATTTGTCATCGTTCAAAATTTTACGAATGTACCTTTAACGTATTATTTGAGAAAAAAGCACTTTACGTGTTACTTGTGGATGTCACGAATGACCTCAGTCAATTGTCTAGAAGCCTTCAACTGACAAAATCGTTTTCCTACTGTTATCGTATCCACTTTCGTAATTGCAACACTAATCTTCACTTATTTGTACCGTAGCACGCCTACTCACTAAGCATTTTGGAGCCAAACCTAAAACCTGGGGGTCGCGCCCTGGATGTTGGTTCAGGCAGTGGCATCCTGACTGCATGCTTTGCTTTGATGGTAAGTCTGGCCGCCAACAGCGGCAACAATCAATTCCGCTTATTTGTGCCAACTTGGTGTTGAGTTTGACTTTGCGACCATAAAAAGTAGCTAACCTAGTGGCCATATCTCAAGCAGTACTTCTGCAGTAACGCTTTCGGCACTTGAATTACAAGTATTTCCCGCAGACGGGTGTTTGGGTACTCATAGAAAACATTAAAAATCAGGAATTCAGTTAGGTCGTTGGAATTACTTATGGCTTGTACCCTTCGTTGATCTGCCTCTTCAGCTTGGTTCGAACGGTCTCGCTGTTGGGATTGAGCACGTCGAGGAGCTGGGCAAGCTGTCGTCGAGCAATATTCAATCGTGGTTGGACTCTCAGCCGGTGTACAACGGCTCACCAATCAACCTCAAGTTGGGTGAACACATAAAACTCGTCACAGGTGATGGGCGCGAGGGCTATCTTCCCCACGCCCCGTACGACGCAATCCATGTCGGCGCTGCTGCTCCCACTATCCCGCAACACGTCAGTTCTGTTTCGGTTAATTTGATGGAGTTTTTTGCGGTTTACTAGCAGAAAGCTAGTGTGGGAGAAATCCTCTTTCGATTTGCTTTAGTTGGTGGACCAGCTCAAACCGGGTGGCCGACTAGTGTGTCCTGTGGGTCCGGCAGGAGGGAACCAGAGTCTGGTGCAGGTGGACAAGGATCTGGACGGACGGACAACCACTGTCAAGGAGCTCATGGGTGTCATCTACATCCCCCTCACCGATCTACATCGACAAACCCTAGGGTAGGGATCATAAAAAGTTTGTCTTCTTAAAACACCCGATGATCTGGCGTAGTTCTGTCGGTAGATATCTGCGCCCGTATTCCTGCAGGCTGCGCCATTCCCAGAACCTGGTAATTGTTGTAGTTTTCAGTTCCCGTGTGAGTCGGGCGTGTGCCACAGCAATAGTTCACCTTCAAATCGTGTGACGTGACGTGATCCAATAGCACCCGAGCGCTCATTCCCTCGGATCGCGTCGCCGATCCCAACTCGAATGTGATAGTGCATTGTAGACTAAGATTCATCCTGGCTACTGTTTCTGCGTCCTTCGTCATTGCGGCTGGTCTCAGTTAATGAACCGATTAAATTTTTTGCTTCGTTGCCCAGAAAACGAGAAGATTTGTGATGCAGGCAAGAAGCCTGCATTTGCACCGTCTCGTGTAAGTCACGGTTCTTATCAACCTTACCATATGCAACGCCATTCCCGTTATTATTGGTCCTTGCTGAATGCCAGTAGACACAAGTGCAACTGTTCTGACTTTGTTCTGCATGACGCGCTCCTCAGGAGCTGCACCAACGGCTGTTAGTGGTTTTTACCGTCTTTGCTGACGTTCTAAATTGCTTTGTTCTATTTAGAACCCATTGACGAAGCAATGCGGCGCCATGCCTTGAGGATTATCTCGAGTTCATCCCTTCCCATCCACACGCGCTCACCCCCACCCCTCCAAAGCCAAATCCACACACTTCTTTATTGTTAGTGTAGCAGTAAAGACGACAGAGCATGCAGGCAACGTCGAAAACGTGCTTTGTATTGTTGATTTAGTTTAAGTCAACTTATTGCTCCGCCTTTCCTGTCGATTCTCTTCTTTTCCGGTGAGGGTGGGTGAATTGTGACCTTTGAAAGGCCTGGTTGATGGGTTTGGGCACTAGCGGGACCACAGAACCCCTCAATTTCGTGAACATTGTGGGTGTGGGTGTAGTTCTTAGTTATTATTTTTCCGAATTCACTCAAGAGATGACATCAAAGATGAGGAGTTAGTGTCTCGAGAATACGAATTACTAAAATCACAATTGTCTGGACAGAGTTGAGCAGTTTGGCGTCTACTTCTCGTCCATGCCCAGCGGTATCTCTGTGTATCACCCAGGGCGCAATTCGTTTGTCGGTAAACAAGACACCGTAGCTGTGTGTTAGTCGTGAACGCGGAAAAAATCTTGATCGTTCGCACTGACATGACTTGGTAGCGTGTGCCTGTACGGCAAGATTCTACCCACATCTGATTGGATAATCGGTCAGGACTGTTTCGGCACGTCGTGTACGTGCGCATAAAATTTCGGCATTGTTGAAAAGCACGTGGTGGGTAGATCAAATGCTTCAGCATCACCAATAGTCAGTAGAAATGACTGCGCATAAGTGGACCAGTGTCGATCACCGTAAAACCTTGTCGTGTCGCGGTCCCTTTCGCGGAACAACCAGATTCGAAAACGGTCAGCTGTGGATAACTTTTAAGGGCCTGTTGAACTCCCAATAGGCGTGTGGCTTCGTTCAACAATTGAACGCACTGGCATTTGTTCCCCGCCAATATCGCAATGTTAATGATAGAGCCATCAATTAAATTCCCATTGTAGTGAGTGAGTTGGATTTTCCGGATGTTGAATGGGAACTGTGCCGTAGCAACGTTTCCTTGTCTAGATTGTGCACGGCACTAATCTGGATCTGCAGATCACACGAGAAGACGGACACTAGAAACCCCGAATTACTCCTCCACTTGTTGGGTTCAAACCAAAGCGGATATTGACATATGCGATCGGCGACAAAGCAGGGAATCGCGCGCTACTAGAAAAAAAACCACTCATTTAACTAACACAAACCAGTTGTGATTTCGACTGCTGCGCGTCGATGGCCCGATCGCAGGATTGACCTAGTCCCGGAGTTAACTTGAATAAACTTAACCGACCTCGTATGCGCACACACCGAAGAACTCCGGAATACATGAAGCTAGGCTACTGTCCTTTCAACCACAGAATTCATTCACGGTGTCGTGTATGTGGAGGTAAAAATTATCTCAAAACCGACCTCGCAGACTTATGATGCGGTTCACACCCAACCGAAGACGCATGACCTTTCTCCACCGACGGACCTGCCTCAAAGGATATCTACCGCATCGGTAGAGGCGAAATACGTTCAGGGCGTTTACTTCTAGTCCACGGTGACACCAAGGTTGACAATACTACAGGAACAGAGTATAATAACACTCATTCCACTTCTACAGGAATGTAGCAATTCGGCCGGCGCTTCACCACAGAAAAAACACGCAACAACCATGTATCTACACACCGCATTTCCTGAGTATTATTTTAGAAAATATTATGGCATCTTAGTAAGAGGATAAGGCGGGGAGGTGCAAAAACGCAGCGCAGCGCAGCAGCAGACACTAACAGACGCCTTCGGGGTCGCCACTTGTGGTGTCGTCTTCGGCCTCGGGACAACTGTTCTGCCGGGCCAATCGATCGAGGAAGTAGATCAGAGGACGCGTTGGTCGCCCTAGAATAGGCGCACAAAAAAAGGGAGGGTCGTGAGCTGAGCGCCGTTTCGGAGTGGCTGGCCACGTGGATGAGCTCCCAGTGTTAATTAATAGGTGTATGACTCAATTGTACAGATTTTTTGGCAAATTTATATTGTTTAACAAAATAGAGAACAAGGAAATACTGTCCATCGTTTTCTATGGACAAGATGCCATCTCTCAGGTAACGTTTGAAAGCAGTCGCAAAGGGAACTCGCAGCTTTCGAGGCAATAATGTCGTCATGGACGAATTTACGCGACAAATGGTTGTCAGACGGAGCCAAGTCCGGTGAATATGCCGCGCGTGTGGGAGAACTTCCCAATCCAAGTTTAAAAAGGTCTTCTGAGTCGCAACGCGAGCAGCGTGATTCCGAGAGTTGTCATGGCGCGGCAGCAGTACGATTCGCCGGAATGCTTGCCCGGTAAACGGCCTTTTCTCAACAAGTCCTTCACTTGTCGACTGCGGCATTGCGCAGGCACCGTCTAACTTCGTAATTAACTACACCCTGCATGTCTCGCCAGATACACAGGAGAACCTTCCTGTCCTGCTTCGGTGTCGATGTACTGGGTTCCCCAACACCTACCTACGACTTTTTGCGCTTAGGATTCTCATAAAAAGAGCATACTTTTCATCACCCATCACAAGGTTTTGCAGGGCATGAAGTGAACGTTGACGGAGATTGTGTTCGGTCAGCACATGTGGGTGAACCCAGCTTCCAAGTTCCCGAATTTACCCCACTTGGTGGTGCGAACGCCGTTTAGGTGACACATCCCAACTGGCCTGCTAGCTCCTGTTACGTTTCGTTATGGCCTCATTCAGTAGAGCTTGCACTTCCGCATATTAAAACTTTCAGGGCTGACCGCTAAGATCGCAAATGCCATTTCTGAAACGTTTGTACCAAAGACTACACGTTTCTTAAGACACAACGTTGACACCAAATTGATTCCCGTGCCTTGCAGGCATTCGTTCCTTGTTGGAAAGTCGCACAAAGTGCGGTTCTATCGAATGTGCTTGTCACCAGATGGAACTCACGTAGACTTGTCGTTCGGTGTACCGAAACCCTGCGTCCGACACTTTCTAAGCCACAAAAGACCGTCAAAATATTTCTATTTTAAGCTCAAAGAAAAAGTCTGTGAAAATTACGTCATACGCCTAGTATTCAAGCAAACCTGTCTTTATCATTTATCACCTTCGTGCCTAGGAGTTGCTCTCTAGTTCTGGGGTAATCGACCTCGGCGTGTGTTAGCACATTTCGCCACACAAGGCCGTGTGTAAACGAGTAAGGTCGTGCGAAACTACGTTTAACACGTGCGGAGCCAAATCAATACCAGCTGCCAAGCTCACCTGTCATTCCGCGGCGCACAGAGACCTCCTCGGACACGGACTTCATGACTCCGGCGATGTCGAGGTGCACGTAGGGTGTCCGGTGACTGACGAAACTCTGCCAGGACACAGAAGACACGGCGTGAGGAAGGGGTGGACGCACGCACGCACGCACGCACGCACGCACACACAGGCAGCACGAAAACACATCAATCAGGTTGTGGTCATGTTTGAGCAACACCGCACGACACGCGCCTTGTGCTGCCGGGACCGTGGAGTGCTGAACATTTACCACCGCAAACTAAAATCGAAGCCACAGCTACAACGACGCAACTTTGGACAATCTAATTCCGAGCGATGACAGTGGATGCATCAGCTGCGGATTGCTCTCGAATGCGCCGTAGATCCAACCAATGCCGATTGTTGGGTGGCGCAGTGAAAACATCAACCACCAATCACAATCGCCTACCACCAAATTCATTATAACCAGTCAGATTCCGATCTAAGCACACACACACGCAATCGAGCGCAAGAAAGCTGTTGTGTCACAGAGACCTGTAGGAAAGCCGACGCCGAGCCAGAACCGCCGAGTCGGGCAAAACTGCCGGTGGTGATGTTGGAAATGTCCGCCAGGTGACAGCCCTCCTGCAAGTGCTTCGAGTACAGAGTCGGCATGTGCCAGAACGGGTCGCACTTCTGACGACCGCAGTAGTTGAGCGAGCCAATGATTGTGGGAGGCAGGGGGTGCTGCTGATGCTGTTGGGGATCGCGGTCGCCCTCCTTCGGCCAGACGTCGGTAACGCGACGTCGCTGAACCGCCTGGTTGCAGAACAGGCCGGTGTAGTGGTCACCGAGGGAGACGGAGATGGCGCCGGTGAGGGTCGCAGCGTCGATGATGAGGAGTGGGGGGTTCGGTGCGTCGGGATTCGACTGGGCGTAGTGTAGGGCGTCCGCAAGTATGAGGCGACCCTCAGCGTCCGTGTTGTCAACCTTGATTTCAAAACACGGTCACAAAGCGTGGTCTGAGATTTGATGGCGAGAGGTTGGGAAAGGACACCTCACCTGGACGGTTGTTCCGCTGGCCATTCGCAGAACGTCGCCGGGTCGAAGCGCGTTACCGTCGGGCATATTTTCGACGAGGGGGAGGTAGACGCGAATGTTGATTGGCGACTGGAGTTGGGCCAGAGCAAGCACTACCGAGGCCATTACAGCAGCGCCGCCTACACAAGCACACACACCCTTATTACAGATGTATCACTAGACACACCCACAGTACCGTGAAAAAAATCGGCTTCGAACAGTATAACTCTGGCAAATCAAGGCCAGACATAATCCCCGCAAAGTCTACTGGATGTAGGAGGTGTGTAAAGGTATACAGAGGAATAAAATGTCTCTATAACAAGGCTGCTTGATTCGGGGGGCCACAGGTTGTACGAAACCGCTCGAGTTAGGAGAACTCAATCGATCATTTTGGTGTCATTGAGTATCGGACCACGAGTGGTTGATTGGGCCAGCCGACTTGGAAAAAGTGGGGAACGGCGGGTGTACACACGGGTGAAGGTGCGGTAGAGTAAACTATAACACGTGTGTGTTTGGTCGTGAATCCGACTTGACCCCAAGAGTAACGCCACCCTTGGACGGTGACATGAGGGGGGGGCCTGTCAGGGTGTGGACTGCCAGCCATCGCGCATCAGCGACACCTGTTTACTGGCCTCATGGGGTCAATGACTTATCACTGCTATTCCATTGGTTGCGGTTGTCGGTCGCCTGCTAAGCACCCGTACTCATCCAAACGCACTTGCTAGCAAAGCCACGACACATCTTACTTCATCTACGTTGGACAGGTGCTCTGTGTTGCTGGTCTGTAGCCAGCAACCGAACATGTGGCTGTTTAGGCGAAAGTGGACAGACATGCTAGATTAATTCGCGTTACCACTGATAGCGCCAAACGGTGACTAGTAGTTTGAGAGCAGTGCTCGGCTTACACTAAGAGCCAATTTGTAATCGTTGTAGACCACGATGTTAGCAAACAAAGGCCAAACGAAGATGTTCAGGGCCAGACAAGCTAACAGACTTACCCATGTCGGCTCGCATCGCCTCCATACCACCGGCTGGCTTGATAGAGATACCACCAGAATCGAAAGTCACTCCCTTGCCGACGAGGGCAATGTGGTCGTTTGGCCGCGAGGGGTCACCCTTGCAAGAGAAAAAAAAAGAAATCTGGCATGACGTTTTTGAGATCCCCGAAACCGACGGTAACTGGGCACCACGATACTTCCACCGCTGAAGTACTGTGGCCAGGCGATCCATCAACTCACCACGTAGTTGATCTCCACAAAGCACGGATCCTGGCTAGAAGCCCGCGAGACACCAAGAACACCACCCATGTTCTGTTTTTCAATCCAATCCTTGTCGTGAACCACCACGCGCAAAGACGTTTCGCCACAGCTGACCTGGGAGAGGCTCTCCTCGATTTCTCGGGCGAAGGTCTGCGGAGGCAAGAGGTTGCTTGGCATCTCCATCCACCGACGCGCCTGATTCTGCGCCTGTGCGAAAATTTTACCGCGATTCCACGCAGTGAGCAGTCTAGAGCAAACAATGCGTGACGAATGCGACGAGAAAAGTGGAATAAACAGGATGTAGATAGACGTAACAAAAAAAACTGAAATCATGCTCAGCATTGAAGTGTCTGGACTAAAGTGATGCGCATCCAATTTGCAACTAATGACTGGTAATCGAAGCATTAAATGGAATGAGTGATAGTTTACATACAATTTTACAGCCAGCATTGAAACATGGTTATCAAACATCAACGTAACTGCTCGACAACATAGAATGTATTTAAATTAAAAAAAAAACAAATTACTTGTTCCGAGTTTGGAAACTGTCTGGATCATTGTCTAGATGAGCGGTGAAACACGAGAGGAGAGGCTTGCTGATGCGTTTTTTGGGGGATTTCAACTCGTCGAAGCAGAAGGCAGCCAAATAGGCCGCTTCTGCAGCAGCCTCAGCGTCGGCGAAGGGGTCGACAAAAATTTCGGAGACGCCAATTTTCTATAACAATCGAGACTAGGCAGGTTGAGCAGCCAACAAAAAAGAAGCCAAGAATGATGACTTAGAGCAAAGATGGACGCCTGGCACTTCGAACTACCCAACGCAGCTGCAATATACATGAGTAAAATGGACGCTTACAGTAAAATACTTGCAATATTGTATTACAACACTTCTATAAGTTAGAAATTTGTGTTAGGGAACATTCTAAAGTAAAGGTATCAGCCCACATAAACGCCGCGTTTGCAAAGAATAAAAATATAAAGTCTTACGGGCACAGTAAAGTGAATTCAAGCAAAAACAAAGTGCGATTCTAGAATGACTGCACGGCGTTCAGATGTCAAAAGAATCATACGTCCATCACCTTCTTGATTACTAATTTTTAACTGAACGGGCGACGATAGATAGGAATGTTCCTAGGTCCTTTTAGTAAAATATTAATACATGAATTGGGTTAAAAAAGGTGCCTCGGGAATCCGGCAAAAATGCCAACCTGCAGGGCTTGAACACCACGGCCAATACAATTTCTCAATTTGTCAAAATGCACAAGGCGCCACGGTTCATCCGGTTCCTTCGGCTTGTCATAACATTCGTCATTCTTGTTTTGCGGACCTCTAATACCCACACCACTATAAACTATATAATAATAGCTCTGTAAAAATGTGGCTGGGTATATGTCAATCAAATTAAATTTTGGGTGAAAAATTCTAAAATTTGGATGAGTTAAAGAGCAGGACAAACTTCGAAATGCGTTGCTTAATTCCACCATTTAAGAAGACTTCGTCAACATAAGAAATTGCTGGTGACAAGTTTCCGAGTTGAACGTTATGCAGACCAAAACCACCGACAAGACCAGCAACTCGTTTCTACCAGAACGTCACTTATTATTATTAAATATTTACATCATTCTGTCGATCAACACATTCTTCTGAAAAATAACGCTTTGAAGCAGCAAATCGCTTCAAAATCGACGGCTTAAAAATAACGAACCCCTTCCGCATGTTGAAAATAAACGAGTAGAGCGCTGCGACCCAGAAGCGTGGTTGAACCATTTAAACAAAACGGGCGAGAATACAGTACTTTTCACGTTGTTATAGCGGTACAAAATAATCTGATAGAAATATTATCCAGAAACGTTTTGATTAACTGAGGAAACGGCCGATAAATTTGGCGACATAAGAGCTCCCTCCCTCCGGATCCGCTCAAACAAGCTTTCACGGATTTCACATGAGTTTTTCGTTGAAGCAAGCAAAGGCTGGTTGGAAGAAGTCGATGACGTTCCATCATTTACTGCTAACGATAATGATCGCACATTAAGAACCGACGGCAGAGGTGGTTTGCTTGAGGCGGACTCCTAAAAAAGGAAGAGACATTGGCGCATCCAGTTCTGTTAATGTTTAATGGACAAACAGGGATAATTGAAGTGACACTTTGCCAGCACATGGTTACAGAAAAAAAAAACAAAAAAGAACCTTTTCCTGCTACGTATGGAGACATTTTTGATGAATGGGTCGTCACACTGAAAATTATGTTGGATTAGAGCGTGTCGCGACTGTACAGCGCGGCAGCACTACATCGCTAGCTTTCTTTTTTACACCATCTCATACCTAGTTGGTGTAAACGAAAACTTGCATAATTTACCAAATATTCTAACAATTTTAATGCCTGCGTCTCTCAAAAAGAATGTTTAAGGCACCCCTGATTTGAATTTGACCTTTTAAAGGGAAGTCTACGCATTAGGTAGACAAAGAGACCTACTATGACGCACTTGAAGCCCCCACAACATTTGTAAGACAAGTATCCAACGATTTCGTGCATACAGCATGCTTAAATATCTTCGACCATCTAACCGATTGTTGCGGCAACGAAGCATTTACAGTTAAACCTTCGCTTGGTAACTTGAACGTAGACCGGTTAGGTCAAATGTGTATTATCGATATGAACCCATGCAAACCTCCTTCTTCTGCATTCTAATGTGTTCGCTGTGTAAAATTCTCCCGTCTTAACAACTAAAACAACGGAATTTTTACCTGTTCCCGTCATTGGCAATAAACCACTGAGGTTTAGACTCAACATCCCGTAAAATGGCGACACAAATTTCAAAACACCACACACTCCATAGTGTTATTGATCAAGTGGCAAAACTATTTTGTCCCGCAAAACTGTTATTTTCCAGCAACGCCAAATTATCAAACAAGTAGTGCAAATACCTGGTTTTAACGTTTCGCAATAAGTAAAACGCCAACATCGCCAAACCACCAATCACAATTTGGCAAACCAGATAATGAAAATGTTTCGTGGGAAATTCACGCTAATGCACTCCACGTCAAAAGAAACCTAAATCGTAAAGATACAATCGAATCTATGAACCGTGGGCAATTTAGTACGTGGAAGTTGGTATTTTCTTTGTGACCGCCAATAAGTATACAACCGACCTCAACTTTTCTGATGCGTCAAATGATGAAACACACACACACACACACAGACAAACCTGAACAGATTGCAAAAAAAACAACGGCAAAAACCTTCGGATACACATAAGAAAGCAGATCCGAAACGAAAGGACAAAGTTAAGAGGCAAAGGGATGGCTGGTAGCAAATCAATTGAACCTACTGATTGTCTGATTGCAACTGAACAGTCGCGTGACAACGAGACACAAGGAGCAGCAGAAGCGTCTGACGGACAAGTGGTGGTGGTGGCGGTGGTAGTAGTAGTAGTGGTGGTGGTGGAGGTGGCGCTATGAGGGGTCCCAAGACGTGCCTTAAAGACTGCCTTGCAATTTGTTACCAGGCACTCGCTGGAGCAGTACTCGAGGTTCCAGCGCGAATCGAACACAACAGGGTGGTTGCATGCAGCGTTGGCGCATCGTGGAACTTCATGAGAGGCCTTTAACAAAATAACTCCACACTCGAAAGTGGCACGGATCTTGACTTGTACAGCGAGTACAAGCCCACGAATTCTATAAATTTGACAGTGTATCCCTCAACAAGTAATGCCGATCCGTGGTGTCCAGGATCACTAGGCTGCTTAAGACATCACCTACGACTTCGATAGCAGGCTACAAGACTGTGGAAAAGACAAAATCGACAAACATGTAACAAAGCGAGTAAGGAAAAACAACTTGCCGCAGAGAGTAGTTTGGCTCGATGGTCAACCAAGTGCCGAGCATAAGACATCTTCGAATTGACTGCACGCTTCCGATATGCCTGCGAATAAATAAGCCTGCTGACAGCGCTTTCAGCACAAACAAACCACAAAAAACGGCCGCAATCCGTCAAATCCGATCAAAGCTAAAACCAGCTCACAACGAGGTGATTAAGTAAGCAGCGCACCTTGCGTTCCTCGCAAGACAGCTTCTTCCATTGGGTCATCATGGCTTGCCAAACCGCGCCAAACGGGAGACCGGAAGGGACCGCGCCGGACTTCACGGCCTCGTAAAAGAAGACCACGAAGGAGTGTGGCACCCTGCAAACACGAATATCGATTTTTTCTCTCTCTCAAGCTGAGCCAATGAAAGCTCTACAGTTGTGGCTGAAATCAACAGAACCTCGAAACGATTTTGCAAAGCTATTGATTGATCAAAGTTACTATTACTACTATCAGTACTCCAACAGGGGTGGATAGGGCCCGTGTCACCGTGGGGTCATGTCCACAACACGCCTTGTTTACACAAACAAACACGCAAGGCACAGACGCGTGTGCGTGTCAAATGAGTTATTCTAGCATCTTGTTCACCTCGGCCTCATAGCGTAACGCGTTTCACAAAAACCTAATTCAGCTGATAACTCAACGGGGTTTTTGAGATATACAGAAGCAACTGAAAACAGACGAGTGAAAAACTAGAAGAATATATGAATACTACTTAAAGGAAGAGTTCTAGTCAGGCAAAGTTAACTTAAAATGTTGACGAAACAGACCTCTCCTTTTCGATGGATGAAGGCACCGAGTGCGTGCGTTGCAGTCGCTGGAATGAATTGGATTCAACCCACTGTAATGAGACAAGAAGCGTACGGAAAGTCACACATTGACTGGGTAGTACCACGTTAAAATCGACCACTTCTCTCGCACGAGTGTCTACGAGTTGCACAATTCAAACTTAAGACTAGGGGGCCAATGAACACAGCATGGAAATGACGGCTACAAGTAGGTTGTATTATAAAGACAGGTGGTAGGAGAAACGTCCAAGCCTATTTAGAAAAAAAGACTTCTTTTTAAACCAAACAAACGTACTATTGGTAAATTTATTTGGTCTGATCTACTGTCTGAAATGATTTGTAACTCATTGCTTTCCGAGTTGGATGAGGAATTCGAGTCGTCACAGGTGAGATCAATTGAGTCCACACCAGGAAATGCTGCATACGACAAACGAAGCTCAGACTGAAAGGAAAAATGGCACACAACTATCGTCAAGCATTAATGGAGACGAATTCACATGCCTACGTCAATACGTCGACCTGTCGATTGACACACACAAAGCACAAACCACATTTACACACACTTATGATTTCCCAATAAGTGGTTTCCGATTAGATCAATTGGCGATGAATAAGGAAGCCGACGAATAAAAAACAGGAGCGCTACTTACCAGGGGTCTCGTGTCTTCGTCCAGATCATCTTCCTCGTCTTCATCCGAATTGTACGTCATTATTAGGGGCATTTTCTTCTTTTGAAGATCACTCTGAACAGAGCTCGTGAGGTTTCGACTATCTGTTGTCATCTTTCAACTAGGAAAATGAGTGCAAAATGTCAAAAATAATCTTCAACCGGGCATATTTTGATTCTACGCAAAAACTACTACAGAACAAAGTTTATAGCGATCACCGACACTTCGTAATCCAAGTCCTGGAAAAAACACAATGGTGTACTGACGTAGTTAGGCCTATTACAAATTGCAGAATGTTTCTCAAGGCAAAAACTACATGTAGCAACGGTCGAGAATTGTGCAGATAACAGACTCCGAAACCTTCAGGTATACTACGTCGACTTCCCATTAATGGCACATTAGTGCATCAAATTAAGAGTTTTGTATCTGCGTATGATCACCAATTGGTGACATTACGGTGATTGACACTTATACGATCATTAAAATAATATGATGAAAACTTTAACTGAGCACTACTTAGTTAATTACACATACCAATTTCTTTGTCATCTTGACTAAGCTCCATAGATCAACATACCTAAGAACCGACATACACTAACAATAGTGAATACGTATATCAATTTAGATACATTTAACGGTAAAAGATGACGACCGCAGTAATGTTAATCGGTGACTTCAAATAAATGTACGTGAGGAAATGGACCAAAGTTGAGTGAATTATTTAGTACAGATGCTCACGAAGGTATGCAAACTGGGGTAGTTAGGGTATTGCATAGTGCACTGAGTCACATGTTAAACAGCGCTGTTGACCACATGGAAGTAAGTCAGTAAAAATAGAACAAGTGTCAATTTAGCTTACAAATAACGCCCTCGATGTTGATGATAGCGGCTAGTTAGTGACCACTTAAGATTGACCAGTTAGAATTCGCGAATCTATGAAATAACTATCTTACAGCAACGGAAAAGTCATCGTTACCAATATTTTCTCAAAATTACCCTATTACTTGATTCTACCTTATACGTTAATTTTTGAAAAAAATTGCATATTATCTGATGCAATGTCAAGTGAGCAATTTATCTTCTGCGTTCAAACATGCAAAATTGATTGTTGAATTTGGTCAACGTCGACTGACAATTATTTAAAGGATTGCTTAGCAAAGGAACTTTTGGTCAACCCACAGAGAGTCATTAAGTGGTCATTTTTTGATAACTTTAACCATGTGAATCCCATCGGAATAACACTATTAAAAAATGCTAACCAAATTCAAATGCATAACTCTTCAATTATGCTGCTAAAATGAATACTCCTCGTCCTCTACGTAGTTCACATTTCATAGAATCTTTGATATCATATTCGTTAAAAGTCAGTGTGATTCGCCATAACTGGTAATATTACCGTATTACCAGTTATTGGTGCTTCTTGTCCCAAACAAGAATAAATTAAGTAC